GGGGGCAGTCTGCGGGTCGCCCCTACCTGGCCAGGCCCTGCGACCTTAAGATAATCCTCTTCCAGCCCTTTTTTCCTGGACGCGTGAGCAGACTGCATTTTGCAAAGCCTAGATCGGAAGGTGCTGCAACTTGGCTTCTTTACCTAAGAATGCAGCATGCGCAGCTAACCGTGGCTCTACGTGTTTTTCTGCGTCCTTTGTATTGGCCGCACTGGACTGCGTTCCTGTGTGCCAGTTTGACCGCAGCATCCATCCCCGGGGCCTGGCCCCAGCTGGACGTGCAGTTTGTTGAGTGACGGGACTGTGATTTACTTCATGGCGTCCTTCCCTGCTGGTGGACATGGTTTTCAGTTTGTAGCTAATACAAAAAAAGGCAGTTCATTGAGCACTGTTACGTCTAGTGTGTTGAGCGTGATCCGTTGTTTAGAGTGATCTCTCCTAAGGCTTGTGGTTTACATTGTAAAAATGCTCCTCAGAAAAGTTACCGGTTCTTGTACCTCCGGTAGCATTTGGGGAGACCTGGCTCCTGGAGCTTCCTGACCGACTTTGCTGGGTCCCAGTGCTTCACGTGGGTCTCGACATACAGTGTCAGCACCTGTTCGTTGAACAGTGACCTTGTGGCTGGCCTTACCTAGAGCTTTTGCTGAAAAGGGAACTATGAATATCTTAGTAATTTTTAAAACGGATTTGGGTTTAGCTTGGACAGACCATTACAGCCCCCAGTGCGGTTAAACCCAAGTTAAGGCAAAATTCAAGCTGGGTTAGATGAACAGTGGAAACGTCTTAATGGTTAAGTCTTACTCTGAAACGTGACCGTTGAATTGCTAGGGAAGAGATTTTAAAAGATTATGTTGATGCCTAGATATTCAAAAAGCGTTCTTGGAAGACATGTAAAAAGTTTCAAGTGAGGGGCGCCTGGGTGGCTCAGTCGTTAAGCGTCTGCCTTCGCTCAGGTCATGATCCTAGAGTCCTGGGATCGAGCCCCGCATCGGGCTCCCTGCTTGGCGGGAAGCCTGCTTCTCCCTCTCCCACTCCCCCTGCT